TGTGTGTGTGTGTGTGTGTGTGTGTGTGTGTGTGTGTGTGTGTGTGTTTGCTTGTGCCCCCATTGGTTTAGCTAGCAATATGCCCAGAGAATTAACTTAAGAAAAAGTACCTCGCCGGGCGGTGGTGGCGCACGCCTTTAATCCCAGCACTTGGGAGGCAGAGGCAGGTGGATTTCTGAGTTCAAGGCCAGCCTGATCTACAGAGTGAGTTCCAGGAAGCCAGGGCTACAAGAGAAACCCTGTCGCGAAAAGCCTAAAAAAAAAAAGAAAAGAAAAGAAAAAGTACCTCAGTCATTGTCCATTCTGCCACTGTTCTCAGAGGAGACTGCTGAGCCGCACCACTCAGCAGTATCTCTCTTAGAATTCCTTCCACTCTCCAGAGTTTTTCTTGTTTTTCCTTAATAAAGTTCACTTTGTTGAGTCCTTTGTCTGTTATGTCTCATATCAATGTGAGACAACAAATTCAAGAGCCACTGGCTCAGGCTCAATCTGTTGACCATTAATCATCCAGCATCTTAGTTCTCTGGGTTAAGCCCACCAGCACTGAGAAAGGCCTAATTATTATTAATGATTGGGCTACATTAGGATGGTGGGTTTGAATAAGAATGGGCCCCATAGGCTCGTTTGAATGCTTGGTCACAGGGAGTGGTACTATTAGGAGGTAAGTCCTTGTTGAGGTAGGTGTGGCCTTTTGGAGGAAGTGTGTTACTAGGGGTAGGCTTTGAGGTTTCAGAAGCTTAAGTCATGCACAGTGTCTCTCTTCCTGCTTGCTGTCTGAGGATCTAGACGTAGAACTCTTTGTTCCTTCTCCAGCACCATATCTGTCTGCATGCAGCCGTGCCTCTAGCCATGATGGTAATGGACTAAATCTCTGAACTTATAAGCCAGCCCCAGTGAAACGTTTTTCTTTATAAGAGTAGAACACTGGGAATTAATCCACTGGGAATTGAGGATTTAGCTCCAGAAAAAGGAATTGGAACAACAAATTCACTGTAAAGAACAGAAAAATAGTTCTAAGGCTGTAAGAAGAGGTAGATGTCAAGGGCTTTTGATGCTCTGGAGTTTTTACCTCTAATTCTCATTTATCTGCTCTCTCTCTCTCTCTCTCTCTCTCTCTCTTTCTCTCTCTCTCTCTCTATCTCATATGTGTGTATATATATTAAATTATATTAGTTAATACTTAATTTTTAAGACACAATATATGAATTAACATGGGGAAAGGATAACTAGTAAACAGATCAATAAAAGTTATGAGTAGATCAGTGATTTCTCTTTATTGAAAGTCAAAATCACAGATGACTTATTAAGCATCTATAACAGTACCTTCTTACACTAATTTCAACTACAAATAAATAGTCCCACATATCCATCTACCCTGCAGGGGAAGCAGTGATGAATGAACCAGATGTTTGAAATGACTCCATAGGGCACATCCCCCAAGAGAAACTCTAACCACCCATTCACTCTTTCATTCAAGAAACTTTTTTTTTTTAGTTTTTCACAATATTTAATTAGCACTTGTCATTGTGGGGTTTGTTCTTTGAAGACCTTTACTCCTGGGATCTATATCTTGCTTCTGGAATGCTCTGCAGCTGGCCTATAGCGGCGCTGCAATTGGATCCTTGCAGTAGCCACCTTAAAGCATGCTGCCGTTAGAACCTCAGGACGGTCCTGACCGCCTCAACATAGTGGCCATCTGGAGGTGGCTTCCTCTGACTTCCAGGTTGCAGGGACTTCCTAATTGTAGGAATGTTGCTGATTCTTGTCTTAAACGCCTGCAGCAGAGGGAAGTCAGATAGCACAGGAGCGCTGAGTTCTTCCACCATCAAAATGGCTTCTAGCAGCTGTTTGTCTGCCCAACTGAGTTGGTTGCCAACAAGAAAAGCCTCTCCATGGTCTTTTAAAATATAGAAATTCTGCTTTGGAACATCTTCTAAGTAATAAAATGGTGGTATAAATATCTTCAATATAACCATAATTATCTTTTCAAACACTGGGAAGTAACGGGTTTTAGCTTTTGTCACTATCAAAGCGTAGCTTTCCTCTTTTTCCTGAGGGGCTTTAAATGGAGCCCCAGCAATCTTCATCATCATCAGGTCCTGGATCCTGTCAACATACATGTCAATCCTGACTCTCTCCTTCAGGTCCTCCCCATACAAGTTGTGCTTGGCAGCGAGGTAGCTGAGAATGGCTTTGGTCTGTGTCAGCAGCATCCCATCCATTTCAACCAAAGGGACTTGGCCAAAAAGCAGGTGTCCATCCTTTTGCAACTTCTCATATTGTTCTCTTGTCTCAAGAAATTCTTCTTCAAACTCCACTCCAGCCACAGCCAGCAGCCAGTGGATCGACTCCACCCTTCCCCTGCCTTGAAAGTAGTAGAGCTGGGGTTTGGCTTCCATGACACCTGGTTCAGAGTTTCCTTATTCTTGTGGGATTTTGTCTCTTGGCACGCTGGAAAGCTAAGAAACATTGTTGAGGTGGGGATGTTGAGTTCAATCCCCAGAACAGGAAAGAAGTATTGAACATCTATTATGTACCAGTTACTAGTGAGGCAAGGTCAATGACATAAGCTTTCCTTCAAAGAGCTCATGGGATGATCAAAGCATGTGAGCAAATGAATGAATGTGTAATTAGAAATCTCTAATAGATAAAAACATACATGTATGTGGTGGTTTGAGTGAAAATGATCCCCAGAGCCCCACATATTTGACTATTTGGTTTCCAGTTGGTGAGACTGTTTAGGCAGGATTAGAAGGTAGCCTTGTTGGAGTAGGTGTGGTCTTGGAGGAAGTGTGTCATTGTGGGTGGGCTTTGAGGTTTCAAAAGCCCAAGCCAGTCCTAGTGTGTCTCTCTCTTCCTACTGCCTGTGGATCTGGATGTAGAACTCTCAGCTATTTCTCCAGCACAATGTCTATCTGCATGCTGCCTTGTTCCCCACCATGATGATAATGGACCAAACCTCTGAAACTGTAAGCCAGTCCCAGTTAAATGCTTCCTTTGAGAGTTGCTGTGGTCATGGTGTCTCTTCCCAGAAATAGAACAGTAACAGACACTGTCAGTCAGCTACTGCTCTAGTGCCATACCTGTCTGCCTGCTACCTTGTTCATTGTCATGCTGGTCATGAACTCTACTACTCTATGGAACTGTGAGCTCCAAATTAAATGTTTTCTCTTAGAAGTTGCCATAGTCATGATGTCTCTTTGTAGCAGTAAAAAAATTAAGCCATTGTTCATATAGAATTAAGATGTTGTACATATAAGAGGCAACGATGAATGATGTGATTTACTATTTTGTTGTGGAGATGTTTGTGCCATTCATGGTGTTGAGGCTCTTAAAGAGAAATATTTAGGATTCCAATTGTTATATTAGTACTTAAATTTTACTAAATTAGAAGAAAAATTCTTTACTTGTCTTCATTTTGATTGTGGAAGAAAGCAAGAAAATAAACAGACTCAAAACAGACAAGTTTCAATTTTGTTTGACAACATATAGAGCATTTGTTATGTTAGGGGATGGCCTAGATATTAGTTTTTAGCCTACTCAATAGTAAATATAAAATGAAGCAAATTAAGTCGTATGTGTGAAGTCACATCTCATTAAGACAGGGGCCAGGGGACAAGGCAGATTCCAGAAATGGGATTCCAGAAATCCTATGCATGAGTGGTGTTAAGTTGCAATTTTAAGCTGTGTGAGAAAAGCCTCAGTAAAACTTCAGAGCTACTTGGTGGAAAGATTCAAAGGATACGACAGTGTTGGCTCTCTGAAAACAAACCTTTTGAGCATAAAGGAACAGTGTAATGTGCCAAAAGCAGGAAGTAAGGGATGTCAGTGCAGGTTTCTCAAGATGCTTTGTAACAATCCAGGAAAGAGATGAAGGTTGGTATGGACCAGGCTCATATGCACTACGGAGAGTCAGTGCAAAAATCTATCTCGGGATATATTTTTAAGGGATCAATGACATCTTTCTTTTGGAAGAGATGTGGAACAAAGATAGGTGCTATCGATCAGCCAATACTTTAACCTCACTAATTAAGATAGGAAAGGCTGAAGCTACCTGATGGGAACCACTCTATTTTGAACAGATTGAATTTAAGGTCTAGTAGCCACTTGTACCTTAGATAGTCCCAGCCTTGCTTGTGGTTCTTTGGGGCCTTTGGCTACTGTCCTACTGTCTCGGAACAACTGACCACTGGCAGTAGACCCTATAGCACTCTGCCTTGTGCCCAAGCAACATGTCTTAAAAGAGTTAGACATCCACGCACAATAGAAGTTTGTTTGCACTGAGATGGAGGGATTGTGGTGTAAGCATGCCTTTGACTGAATCTTGACCTGTCCTTTTCTCCGATTTCCTGAGAGTCTGCTCTCTAAGAAAATAGTACAGAGGCGTTTGCCTCAAGTTCTGCCTCCTGGGAGAGCATAAGCTAAGACAACATCTAAGTGGATAGACATGGTGGGGTTGGGGGAGGAGTTGTTTAAATGAGTCACAGTTTGGGAGAGTGATTTAGTAAGATGAAAACTTAAATGTTGTGACTATAAACACTGATAGACATGATGGGCAATGGGTACCATCATGATACTGGTTGAAGATACAAAGGAATGAACAAAAAGCAATCGGTTTGAATATTTTGGTCTCTGTGAGAGCAGAGACAATAAGTTCTATTCACTGTTGTCCCTCCAATTTCTAGAAAAGTGCATGACACAAAGCTGGTGTTTAACAGGGAATTTTAAGTTGAATGAAGTAGATCGTCCTGGCCTTGGGGTTATATAGGAAAGAAAATCAAGCCATAGAAGTGATGAACTGGAATAGGCAAGTTCAAGGAACTTGAACCCCATGAAGGTGAAACTTAGGTCTTACGGCAGAAGCAAGAAAGGAAAATAACAGAAAAAGGAAGCTGTGGTTAGAGGAAAGCTCTCAAGTACACTTTCCTCTTGAAGCCTTTTATAATCATCTCGTGGGATGGTCCCCGCTCCTGGCCTCTTTGAAGATACTGCATCGTTTACTGTGTCAAGTTATATCCACATGGCCTACTTTCATCTCCTTCTTCACCCCTAATATGGACCTTATCTTCCAAGAGACTGAATTGGACAAATAGAGGTGACTTCAAGTCCCGGAAACACAAATTGTGTGTTTGAAAGTTTAGCGTTCCTGGTTTATGTCTATGGTATACAGACTGAAGCTAAAGCAGGGTATATATGAGGAAGCTGGATCTCACATTTAGATTGTGCCCAAAAGCACAGCAAAATAACTTGCCTTGTATGAATGAGCTCATCTGGGTACACAGGCCACTAGACAGAAAACATGACTTAACTGTTTGAGTCCCATTTGTCTGATAGTATGATGCAAGTGGAAAAGATCAGACAGGCCTGCTGTTATAATGCACTTTAGAATTTGACAAATGAGGAAAAAATAAGGCTTAAATAGAGGTCAATGTGAATAAAAGGGAAAGGTGCACATAAAAACAAGGTTAAAAGTTTGGCAAGTGTCTTAGTTTGCTTTCTTTTGCTGTGATAAACACTGCCCCCAAACCAACTTGGAGCAGAAAGGGTTTATTTCAGCTTACAACTCCCAGGTCAACAGTTCAACAAAAGAGGAGGCAGGAATTCAAGGCAGGAACTGAAGCCCAGGCCATAGAGGAATGTAGTTTAATGGCTTTCTCTCTATGGCTTGTTCAGGTTACTTTTTTTTATACAATCTGGGGATACCTAAGTAGGGGTAACACTGCCTACAGTGGGCTGCCGTCCCCTTCCCATCAATCATTAATCAAGAAAATGTCACATTGGTTTGCCTATAGGACAATCTGATGGAGCCATTTTCTCAGTTGAGGTTCCTTCTTCCCAGATGATCCTAGCTTATGTCAAGCTGACAAGAAAGCAAAAAAAAAAAAAAAAAAAAAAAACCCAAATGATCCCAAAGGGTAATATATGACATGGGCAGGCAATTGTAAGATCTTAGCATTATATATATAAGGCCAGAGTAAGAAAAATAGCAGGATGGTGACAAACCCAAATGTTTTAAAAAAGTTTGATTTAAGGACAAGAGAGCCAAATACAATTAGTAGTAGTGAACACTTTTATGAATTCAAGACATGTGAAACACTACTTAGTACACCTTAAATACCTTATTTCAGCTTCACAACAGCATTATAACATTAACATAGGTGCTATTCTATTTTACAGATGGGGAAACTGAGTCACAAGAGTAAATAATTTACCCAGAGTCATTAGCTAAGTGGCTGAGCTAGTACAATGAATCAAATGTTTGTGTTCACACTGAAATCTTACCCACCAACATATTACTCAGCTTGCTTTCTTATTCAGCCTAGTACTATCTGCCCAGGAGTGGAGCCACCCACAGTAGGCTGGACACTCCCGTATCAATCATTATTTAAGAATATGCCCCCAAAAGATACCCACAGAACAGTCTGATCGAGGCAATTCCTCAGCTAAGAGTCTCTTACCAGGTATGCCTAGGTTTGTGTCAAATTGACAAAAACTAACTAACCAGAATAATATCCTTAAAGACTTATTTATTGTGTCTTTGCCTGCATATATGTATGTACATGCACCATCTGTGTGCCTGGGGCCCATGGAAGCCATAAGAGAGTGAGGTGTGAAATCCTGAGTGTATGTATTGTTGACAGGAGCACAGCCATATCAGGGACACCAAAGCCTCAGATCCATGGGAAAGGTAAGGCCTTCTCCTTGTCCTAGGTATGGATGTTCACTGACAAGAGGTTGTCCTTTAGCTAAGAACAGTACATGCAGAAAGTAGCTACTGCAGCCTCCCCATGCCTATGACTGCAGCCTCAGACTGCTCCCCCACTGGCCTCTTTTGTGCTGTATATAGTAAATATGCTGTGCCCCACCTGTTGGGGATACCTAAGTAGGGGTAACACTGCCCACAGTGTTACCATCCAAGCACAGACCTAGCCCATCCCATCCGTGTGCCTGTCACCCCACTTCAGGTCAACTGTAAAGCTGTACAGGTTGAGGGAGAAGAGGGCATGAGATCCCCTGAGACTGTAGTGACAGGCTGTTGCAAGTTGTCATGTGGGTGCCAAAAAGGAACCTGGTTCCTCTACAAGTGTTCTTAATTGCTGACACACCTTTCAACCTAATCAGTACCCTTACAAAAGGAACCTGAGAGTTCTTGACCTCTTTCACATTGTGAAGCTATACGGAGAAAATGACCACTTGCACTCCAGACGATGGACACATTCAGAGCCTGGCCATACTGGTAGCTTGCTCTCAGATTTCCAGATTCTAGAGCTGGGAGAAACTTGTTTACAAGATGATGAGTCTAAATGCTTTATTATAATAAGCCATGTTCACTAAGAGTCAGGATTTGAACCTAAAGATGTTATAAAAAAATAATCTGGAACCATAGAGAAACTCACTGTTTGTTCAGTAAATATTTAGTGAGCACTGCTATATTCTAGACACCATGTTCCTAGGAGTGGGAGAGAAGAAAAGCAGGCAGTTAGAAGGTGGAGGGACTCGTGCCCTGTATACACACTACAATAAGAGTTAACACATGATCACAGGTATGAAGAATCCAAAGAGAAAGTGACAGCTTACTACTTGGTAAGAGTAAAGCATTCTGGGGAAAGGGGATGACAAGAAAAAAGCCTCAAAGTAAGAGCCTGACCTAGGAGGGAGAGGGGGAGGTGAGCCTGTAAGTAAAGAGACCAGTAAATATGGCTGGAGAACAGAGAGGAAAGGAGACAGATGGAGGAGGTACAAGAGATAAGTCCAGATAATGGAGCTTTAGCCAGCGTTTATGAAGCAAAAGGAAACCACTTGCAGAGCTTTAGGAAGGGCAGTGACCTGACTGGATCTGTAGCATTACAATTCATTTGACAGCAGACTGGCAAACAGACTGGAGTGACACAGGGACCGTTTTAGAGAATGTGGGTAGTGGCCACTGCAGGACTCTAAGCAAGAAATGAAGGGCCGCTTAAGAGTCGTGGAGAAGGCATGGGACACAGCTCATACACCCAAGTTTTCAGAAAGCAGGCAACCCAGGGGAGCATAACAGGTATCAGAAGCGGGCTCGGTTTCTAGCGTATCTAAATAGATATACTGACCTTTATTGAGCTAACGACCGTGGGAGGAAAGTTAGGAGGGGATATGAAACTTCAAGTTGAGTAGGACTATATACTGTTGTCATCCAGCCACATGGACCTGTAGCAGAGGCTGCTGGGAAGAGGAATTCAGAGTCCCAGCGTGAGACCTAGCTAAGACTGAAGAGTCTGAGAGAAGGCATTTGAAGCCAGTAGAAGAGGGTGAGACCACCTAGAGGAAGAGACTACGGTAGGATTGTGGAGGATTCCAGCGCAGGAGTTAGATAAAGGAGAATCTAGCTGTTGAGTAGAAGGGTTAAAAGGAAAACTGGCAAGAGAAGAGGGGAGGGCGTGTTTGGAAGAGTCAAACAGCGTCAAATGCTAGGATGGTCCTGTAAATGCAAATGCAAGACGCAAAACTACATAGACAGGAAGAATGTGACAATTCAGAGCCACTGAAAATGGAGAGGGATGGTAAGAGACAGGTGGAGCTTGGAGAGGGGCTTAAGGAGGAAGTTTCTATATTTTATGTATTGGCCACACACACTACTGTGTACTCTGAAGTCAAAGTGCTGAGGTCAAAGGCCAACTTGGGGGAAGATGGTTCTCTCCTTCTACCACGTGGTTTCTGGCAATTGACTTTAGATTATCTGGCTTGGTGGCAAGGACCTTTATCCATCTCACCAATGATACAAGACTCTTTTTACAGAGAGGAAGAGGTGTTAGCATGCTAACAGTTCTGGTTAGAAACAAAAGGAAAATCAAGCTACTCTTCAGGGCAATGTCCGTGGGAAGGCAGGAACCGATAGGACACACAGAATGAAGGCAAGCTCTGTGTTACAAAATGGCAATAAGGGCTGGTGTCCATCAGGAACAAAACTATAGGAAGAGGGCTGAACGGCTCAACGATAACAAAAAAAGGTGACGGGCTGGTGGTTAGGAGCAACTCAAGTGAGATGTTGCGGTAGTTTTGAGGCTACGGAAGTCACACTGTCAAGTTCCAGGGTGCAAAAGGTATAAGCTGAGCCGCAGCAGCACGCCACCGCTGCAGAAAGGGCTGAGAAAAGGCAACACAGGATGTCGCGGACAGGGAGGGTGAGGGTCTATTTCAAGTGTAGACAGCAGCATGGCTGATCATTTCTCTAGCATCAGAGGGGGGACAGTACCCAGTACCCAAGGCTCTGGCTGTCTGCAAAGCGGAGCTGAAGGCCACATGCCACGTGTGTCATAGCTTTCTTCCCAGCAAAGAACCAGCTCGGCCCGTGCAGCTAGTTCTGGGCAGACAACCCCGGTCGGCGGCCGGCGTCTGCAACCTTCTAACGCCCCCCGCGCGGCTCTGGGCCCTCGCGGAGAGTCAAAGTTCCCTGGCGGTCTGCTTCCGCCGTAGGATCAGACCGCGTGGGGGTTTCCAGTAAGTCCTCGCCACCCCGGGAATCCCCCCATCTGGCCAAACAGAATCCCCACTTCCTCCAAATTTCCTCAGCTGGCGTTCGAAGCCTCCACCCTCCATAGTGAGACTTGGACCGTTCCTCCAGAGCAGGTCTCAGCCCACCTACACCAGCCTTCCCCAACCAACCCCTTCGCAGCTCCCGGAAGAAGCCGAAGGCTTTCGGCAGGTTCCGCAAGTAGTGCGGGGGCGGGGCCTGTCGAGCGGCTCCGGGTCGAGCTCGGCTGTTTCCGTGAGTGGCCGCTGCGCACTCGGCACTGGGCGGCGCTGGCTGGCTCCCTGGCTGCGGCTCCTCAGTCGGCGGCGGCTGCTGCTGCCTGTGGCCCGGGCGGCTGGGAGAAGCGGAGTGTTGGTGAGTGACGCGGCGGAGGTGTAGTTTGACGCGGTGTGTTACGTGGGGGAGAGAATAAAACTCCAGCGAGATCCGGGCCGCGAACGAAAGCAGTGACGGAGGAGCTTGTACCACCGGTAAGAGGAGCAGGAGGAGGAGGCAGGAGCCGGAGAGAGCCGGGGGGACAGAGGGGGGCCGGGGAGGCGCCGGACACCCGCGCTCGGGGCCTTCCCCTCGCAGGAGGGGCCGCGGTAAAGATGGAGCCTCCGCCCGAGCCCCACAACACCGCCGCCGCTCGCAGCGAACAAAGAATAATGGCGGCGGACTGGAGCCAGCGGCGGCCGGGCGGCAGCGACTCTGCCTGCAGCCAGCGGCGGCGCTCATGGCGGGGGGCGGCCGGGGCGGGGTGCG